AAAAAAAAGAAATTCCATCCAAAATACAAGTTTGCATGTTTTTAGTGGAGGAATTAACACTGGTGAAGCATTATGGTTTGGCAGCATGGAACATGGTTTGTTTTAAGTGAAATCTCCTCATTAAAATCAATTAAACTTGACAGGTTAGAAAGTCACTGACCTGTGGATGACTCTCCCTTTAGAGGGCCGGTTTGTAGACATTTATTATAGGCACAGGCTGAATAAACTCCCCAAGCTGCAAATCTGGGACACCTCAGACAGGTCTCTGGACACATAACATTAATTCTACTACTTGAAACAGTTCTCCTTTTTACATCTTTTATTCAGGTTCTTCTTCAGTCCTTTCTTTCCCAGTTGCAGTGAGAAAAGATAAGATCAGTGAGGCTTCATAAACTAGATTTGAACAAATACATCACATGCAATTAACCACTGAGTCACTGACACGCCCCATTTAAACGGTCTAAATAGGCCACTTAGTTAGGTTACAATCAACACTGCTCAATACCTATGTGAGATGACCTCAATTCTAACTTTTTTTGCTTGCAGCAAAAGGCTTAATTGTGTATAAATATAGTTACACTTTTACAATATAACAAATAATCCATGTTACTCCAATGTTTAAGAGTTTTCTAGTATGAATGTGTATATTTTTTCTCTTACTTTGTTCTCTAAAGAGCCATTATCTTTGTATGTACGGAGATCACAACCAAACATTGCTATTACATGTATTTTCATATTTAAAAAATGTTTCGAGGATTACTTAGCTTCCTTAGAAATTCTTCCTTTGAAGTTCCTTAGCTCACATGTACTATAATTGCTTTAATGTGTTAGTAGAGTAAGGCAAAATTTTAAAAACGCATAAGGTGGCTTCACTTTGCTATAATCCCTAACTCAGACTTGATGGTGCAAGGCCCATTTGCTTCACCCATGTTACGCATTGCTGAAAGCATTAGGAGTGTACTGTACAGTTCTTTTTATGAGGCAGTTAAAAAGTCACAAAATCTCGGCAAAACAGCCATCTAAAACTCATGCTTTCCATTTTAAGGTTTTAGATAATGATAGTGGCATGTGACTACATGGCTCAAATTAAGAAGTAAAATGGAAACAATGCAGAAAAGAGATTTAGGCTCAAGATCTTGATCATTGTAATGCTTGAGACCTCAATTCGAAACCCATTCTCATAGGCAGAATAATAAAAAGTCTCCTGTATGCTCAGGAGCTACTTAAATGACAAAATTCAGTTACTGGAGATATCGTTCATTTATAGCATTGAGAGAATAGTTTTGTTGCTCAATGGTAAATGGTAAATGGACTGGTTCTTATAAAGCAGTTTTCTACTCTTTGTGAGCACACAAAGTGCTTTACACAACTCGCCTTATTCACCCATTCACACCCATTCATACAAGCACTTTTTCCTATGCTTTTTCTTTTTCTTTTCAATGTGACAGCTTTTGAAGGTGCTCCTGGTTTTGATGTCTAATTGCACATGATTCACATGTGTGCTTTTCATATGTCTTTACTAAATGCCAGCTGAATTTGTTTATCTACTTATGTTGTTTTTATTACAGCTTCTACTATCCTCTTGGCCAGGTCTCTCTTCAAAGAAAGATTAGAAAAAGGATATAACAAATGAAAATACAGAAAAAATAACACCTGCTGCATAACTCTCCAGATTGTTTGAGGTATATACAAGGGCTTGATTTAATATTAAAATTTGTTTGGTGATCTGAAAAACGCAAGTGTAACAAATATGCAAAGAAAAAAAAAGAAATCAGGAAGGGATCCTTCATATTCAAAGTGGTGGACATGAAGGATCTAACATGTCGAAAAGCGCTATATAAATGCAATCCATTAAATACTGCAGACAGGCCTGGTTTCCTTTGAATTTAGTGAAGTTTTAGACTAAGATTGACACTATTGTTCTTAGCAAGGGATTAGACCTAGAATTGATATAATAATGGCTGTAGGTCAAGAGGTAGAGCTAATAATTGGAAGATTGGTGGTTCGATTCTTGGCTGCTCTAGGCTGCATGCCAAAGTATCCATGGGCATGACCAAGTTGTGTTCACTGGAGTGTGAAGTTACATTGAAAGCACTTGGAAGAAAAAAAAGGTTTTGTGTAAATGAGGAAATTTGTATTAAGTATTTTCAGCCCTCAAGTAGAGTATACTCTATGCTACAGTATGTATACAATATGTTTTTGATAGACTGTAAGTCAAAGCTTGGAAAAAAAGAAATGTACCACAATTACACCACACCACAAGAAGACAATATTGAACAAAACACAAATATAACCCTCCAGTTGACTTAAAGGTTAGCTGGAGATCGCTCTAAAGCGTAGTGATGGTGTGACGGACCATTAGTTTTAGACAGGTATAAATATGTGAATAAAAACTGCATTTTAATGACGGTGTCAAAGAAGCTCATAAAGAGCAAAGAGTCTAACAGCTAAGTTAACGCCTCAGTGCCTCGCCAAAAATAGCACAAAATGACCTTCAGAGTTTACTGCAGTGCCGTTTGATTGTATACTGTGTAACTATATTATGTCCACTGAAACACAATCAGAGTGTGCAAGGTTAACTTCCACTAGGCGCTCATCACGCAATCACTAAAACATAAACTGTACTTCCTATGGCTCTCCATAAGGACCTCCTCCCACCCAGTGAGAGCACACACACACACAAGAAAAAAGAAAAGAAAAAACAGGATTGAAATGGAAACTGTAAAACAGAGATATGAAGTCCCAACATATCCCGTCATACGCATTTTCTATGCCACAGGTTGGTGTATAAATGACTTGTGTGGCGTTTGTTTGACGTGACACTCCCCCTTGGTCGATGGGAGGCCGACGTCACCCTGCCAGCGGAGGAGTGGATGGCCTGTGCAATAAAAATACATGAAGAGAATTGAGGAAAAGGAGAAGATTGGCCGGGGGGAAAGCAACAACACGGCTGTTATTCCTTTCTTTACGTTCCGCTCGTGAACCGTGGACCTGAGCTCCCTTCTGAGGCGCACTGGGATGTTTTTTCGCCTCTCTATCAAGAGCTCGGGCAGAAATGCTGTGTTATGTGCGGCTTTCTTGGCTTTTTGAGCGCACCGAGAGAGATAACTGTACTATATCCCAGCCTAGCGGATTGGAGTGAAAGTCCGCCATATTCTGCCTTACCACGCCCGGGAGTCGAGCCATTGGAAAATAAACGGACAGCCTTATTCATGCGTTTTTCTTGTTGCCCTTATCCGCAGACGGTAACCTGAACGCGAGGGATTTCGTTTAATGAAAAATATCAACATTGACGACTTTGAAGAGAGGGTGGCCCGGCTCGGATGACAATGCTTAACGAGATCACACTGAGCAGTACGGAGGATGTGTCTTAAAAGGATCTGTTGATCATATTGAGACGGGAAAGCAGATTACACCTATTAAGATTGCACAGATATTCCACCGAAACCGCTTTGGACTGTTGTTTTGAAGCTGTCGGGAGGCCCCAGATAAGCGAAGCAGGGGGAGGGGGTGGGGGGGGTCAATAATTTCTCAAATATCTAATTTTCCTTTCCACCACAATCTGTGCGCTGTTGGGACTCACTATAAGGGCGTCCACGCGTTATTTCACCACCAGTAGGCCTGTATGAGGACGTTATTTGGCATTCACAGGCCTGTTTTTTTTTTTTCTTTCTTTTCCTTTCTTTCCTTCTGCCCCTGAAATCTGGATGAATCACTAAGAGGGGAAAGGAGTGCGAGTTTTACAAAAGGAGAGAGAATGACCCTGGAATCCATAATGGCGTGTTGCCTCAGCGAGGAGGCGAAAGAAGCCAGGCGGATCAACGACGAGATCGAAAGGCAGCTCCGCCGGGATAAGAGGGACGCACGCCGGGAGCTGAAACTGTTGCTTCTCGGTAAGCTCGACGGGGAGAGCAATGCCAAGCCCGCATTCCTCTCTCACTAAAAATGCCTTTGTCGGCTGTAGGGAGTGGGGGTTAATGGGGTTTCCCCACCTGAGTGAAGTTTGGGTGGTAGGGTAGAACTATCTCGGTGTTATGAGTCGAGTGCACAGATTGGCAGGTCAGCAGAGGGAGGAGATGCTGCCCAGTAAGGCCTGCATGGCTTCCACTATATTAAAAAAAACCACCTGATTTGAATAACTGTGACTGGCTAGTGTCGAGGAAACAAATGAGCGCTAGCTCTCCATTGACTCCTCCATGCTCTTTACAGGTTTGACAACAACCTGTGCAGCCAGATCTTAAGGGGCCCATCCAGGCGGTGTGCTTATAAGAGTGCGGCTGGGCCAAAGTCTGCGCTTTATTGGGCACAATCAAGACAGTTTTGCAGCTTAACACATAACCCTGGCAATCATTATATCCCAGATATCGATGTAGAGTGAAAGCTTGGCCACTTGATGTCCTATAATATGTGTAAACCTGTGTGTGATGGTATGCTCCTGCATATTATATTGTGGAATATTAAATTTCCAGACTAACAGCAGTATTCG